ACCAACCCACCAACCAACCAACTAACCAACCAATCAACCAACCCACCAACCAACCAACCCACCAACCAACAAACTAACCATCCAACCAACCCACCCACCAACCAACCCACCCACCAACCAACCAACTAACCACCCAACCAACCAACCAACTAACCAACCTATCATCTTCAGGTAACAGATCAACATCATGAAAGACGAAACAATCGAACGGTTGATCCTTCAATGCCTCCACCACTCCCACATTCAACAAACGGCCCCTGTTGAACTTGCCTTCACCTAACTTCATTTGTCAGGTTTGTCTTTCATATCATAATTATCACCATCATCGTCGCCAATTGTAAACATTACATTATCGCCACCGTTTTCAGTGTAAACATTACATTATCATGATCATTTTCATTACCGTAATCCTTGTAATTTATCACCGTCACTTTCTGTATCACTATCATTGAAATTATTATCATCATTTTCAGTATCACCATTGTTATAATTATCATCATACACTAATATTATTGCCACCAACATGAAGTTAATTTTAGTTTTACAATCACCACAACCACCACCACAACCACCACCACCATCAGCAGCAGCACCTGTTCGACCACAAAGATCTTATAATGGACGAGTTGCTTCTTCAGCATGGCATGCAGTCGGTCGAGGAGCTGCAGTAGGTGGTGGTAGCGATCCCGGTAGGGAACGACGATGGCCAACTTCTGCCACGAGCGACATGGTGGCTTCCACTCACCACCTACCAGTAGCATAATAAAGTTGGTGATGATGGTAACAACGACGATGGTGTTGGTGATAATGATGGCAATGATAATGGTGCAATGGTTAAAACAGTCGGTCGAGTCAAGTCAGTCAGTCTGTATTGGCAGCTACCGGGTTCAAATCCAACGGGACTAACTCATCATCGGCACAAGGTGTACAACACACTTAACGCATTCGAGATGACTTTTAAAAAATGTACAAACAAACGTTGATATAAATATATGGATACAATGTGCAAGAAACGAATAAATAAATAAATACAAATAAAATGAATATTAATATTTTTTAATAATAATATTAATAATAATGAAACAATAATAATAACAATAATAGTAATAATAATAATAAATAATTACTAATAATAACCATAAAGTACCCAGCAAAACTTGCTTGTGTTTAAAAATTATTTCAGGCAAGGAGACATTTGAAAGCATGTCCAACGTAACGGGACCTTGAAAAAATTAACCAAATTATAGATTACAAAATAAATTAAATATAATAACATGACTAAATAAAATGATTCACCTGAAATTATTAAATTATAATTTCGTGGAAATTTGATTAGTTAAAGGTTAAAAAGAGTTTGAGTTAGGCCATTCAATCCTCATTTTTATAGTCTTCATCCATTATGGGTTGGACTAAGTTAGGACAATAAGAAATTTATTTTATTCAATTGAACACACAGACACTCACATATACAATACCAACTATTTATATATATATATATTTTCTATGTTATTTATATTAATTTAGTTGATATTTATTTTATTTAATTTTTAATATTTATGACAAAAATTATAATTATATTTATAATATAATAATCATGTTTTAAAAAATAAAGTATAAAATAAAATGTAAGAAAACTACTGAGCTAACCCAACTGTTCAGTGATTTTGCAAAACATCTGAGTCTCCTGAAACATGTAAGTGGGATAGACCACCTGGACCCTCTCCTTGTAGTTGGAGAGGGAGAAGATGATGAGGAAGATGTAGAAGATGACCAGCAGTCTGACGCACAGCTTGATCAGTCGATTCGTAGGAAATAATTTTATATCGAAGTGCTGAGCCATCACTTTGCGAGTTTCTCAGAATAAAAGACAATTTGTTCGTTTTTTAGTTCTCGTTTATCGGCGGATATGTTTGTTTGTGTACAAAGACAGAGAACCTGCAAATGTTGGTTCCATATAATTAGAACTATTTGACTCGAACAATTAAAAATCACTTTCCAACTCCCCTCCGAAAGTAAGCTCCTTGTTCGACCGTTGAAAGTGAGCGAAGGCCGTTATATTTATTCTAGTTATATGTATCAAACAGTATCTTATTGAACAAAGTAGTATCATAAAAGGAATAAAGATACCTTTTTCAAAAATTAAAAAAATTCTCAATTTGATTTCATTTCGGCATCGGTGATGATGATGATTGTGACCTAACTAATTAAAAAACATCAAATAAAATTTATGAAACAAGATGGGTATATCGTTGCGAAATCGTTGGGGGGAAAATGACGTCATGTTAACAGTAGTTATTTTACTGCATAGTAGTTAATCAGCCTGAATAAAGGTTATATTCAATTCCTATCAAATAAATTTGACCAAATATCATACGCAGGCAAAACTAAATGAAAAAATAGATTGATAGATAGATAGATATATATACATAGTTATAATACATTTATAATGTTGTATTTACACATTCAAATTGTACAGTTGTGTTATGGTGTAGTTTCAAATTATTTTGAATTCTCTCGAAAAATTTAAATTTTTTTTAAATAGGATGGTGATGTTGTTATATTGGGATATTCGTATATAAAGCGAGGAAAAATTTTAATATAAAAGCGCTTATAAATCTACGCATATTGGTTCAGCTTGGCTTTCGGCTTGAAATTGGATGCTAGGTATGGTCTCAAACTATTTTGAATTCTCCCAGAAAAATTTGAACTGCGTGCGCACATATGTAGCACTGATTACTGTTGCTTTAATAATGAATTTATATACTATACATACTATATATATATATAAAGCGAGCAAAATTTTAATATAAAAGCGCTTATAAATCTAAGCATATTGGCTCAGCTTGGCTTGGCTCGGCTTGGAATTGGATGTTAAGCAAGGTGTGGTCTCAGACTATTTTAAATATTTATAAATAATTAATAAGATTATATGCTTATATAAAAAACAGTATAGCATCAGATTCAACCAGCCAATCAGAAAGTTTCGAAGGCGTTCGTTCGTTGACGTGAATTTAGTACGGTTAGCACTGTTGTTAAGACAGTATAATAGTGTAGTACATACATTAAATAAGTTTTTTACTGATGTGAATGATTGAAATGATGAAAATGTATGGTTGAACCGAGTATAAATAGGAGCCAAAACAGCATGAAAATCAGATCAGGCATTCTGCCTCGCTTAGGGCTTGAAGCGGTCTGCCTGATCTCATTTATTTTTTTTTATTTTATTTATTTTATTATATAGAGTTATATAGATTTATATAGAGTTGTGCGGCTATATATGTTTGTCTGTGGTTTGTATGTTATATTTTTTTTATTTTTTAGGTGGGTTCTTTAGCGGTTGCTCATACATGCATACATACATCATGTTTGTTTGTGTGGTAGTATTTTTGTTCTTTTTTACTCCTTTTTCTCTTTCTTCATGAGTCTTGAGTTAAGTTAATGAAACATAGGTAGGTGAGATTGAGATTAATTTATTATGTAGGTAGGCTAGGGCATAAGGTAATTTAGTTACATAGGTAGGTTAGGGACATCTATTCTTTTACTCTTACTCGGTGGTGTATTTTTTGTTTTGTGTTTTTTTTGTTTTGTTTCACACGATACATTCAACAGGTACGCGGTGGTTCCTGGTTTTAGGCTGATTTTTATTGATTGAATGTGGTAGTTTGCATGGTTATATAGAGTTATATAGAGTTATATAGAGTTATATAGAGTTATATAGAGTTATATAGAGTTATATAGAGTTATATAGAGTTATATAGAGTTATATAGAGTTATATAGAGTTATATAGAGTTATATAGAGTTATATAGAGTTATATAGAGTTATATAGAGTTATATAGAGTTATATAGAGTTATATAGAGTTATATAGAGTTATATAGAGTTATATAGAGTTATATAGAGTTATATAGAGTTATATAGAGTTATATAGAGCATATAGAGTCCTATATAGATACCTCTATTTTCATTTAAATTAATTAAATAAGATTTGTCCATTCATCTAGGTTCATTCAGGTTCATTCAGGTTCATTCATTCAGGTTATAGCTTCCAGAGGAGTTCGTCGTGGAGGATCAGAATGGTTGTGATGTCACCCTACGTTCAACCTTAACCCTAACTTCCGACTTTACGGTTTCTTAACTGTTTCTTTTTTTGCCATTTTGCTGGCTTTTCCGGCTGGTGGATTTCACCGCGGCTCGTTTCTCTATTTTCATTTAAATTAATTAATTAAATAGGATTTTTTCATTTCATTCAGGTTGAAGCTTCCAGAGAAGTTCATCATGGAAGATGTCAGGCTACGTTCGTTCATTTAGTGGCAAAGAATACCTGCCTGACTGGGATACGTTTTCTTCTTTTTTTCTGTAATTTAACATTAAGTAGGAATGCTCACACGCACACACACGCACACACAATTACATTAAGTAGCTATATA